ACCGGCTGTGACCTACTTTTTGGTTGACAAACTCCAAAGGCTCATGATGCAAAAGCTGACAACATTTTATGATCATAGGCTTCAAAGTGTCCAAGTTCAAAACATCAAAACCAAATTGAAAATAAATACCTGTAAAATTCAAAAAGTGAGTCACCATGACCTTCTTTTTAAGTCAACATGACATGAGGTCTTAAGATGCATCAACTGACCAGATTTGATGATCCTAGTCCTTATACTCGGCAAAATATCAAAGTTTTAACAAAACAAAAGTTTTGGTCAACTTTGAAGTGACATGGAGACCACGCCCTTTACCCCAGAATTTAATCTACAACATATCAAAATCCTTTTGTGTAAGTTTGGTGATAACCTGCCCAGTTTTCTTGAAAAGATTTTTTAGCAACCACTACTTTTGTTTTTATTTCCCTAATCATCTCCCCTTGTTTAAGGGTCAAAACCCTATTCTTAATACAGTGCCTACTGTCCAATCCGACAACTGTGCGATCCGGCATACTGGACTTTCCGACCTCATAATTTATTCCCCCCCCCCCCCAAATCTTTATAATTTATATAGAATAAAACACTGTATATTCCGACCACTGTACATTCCGAATTCTGGTGCTTTTTGCCAACAGAACTAGATAATTACATTATGAATTCACCTGGGTAATCCGACATAATTACACAGATGTACGATAATTTGCCACTGGCCAGGTAACATGAATATCCCATTTGGTAACAAGATTGTTCTTAGAGAGTAGTTAATTACAAGTTTGAAAGTGTATTTGTAATCAATAAATAGTTTTTTGATTGTAAAAATTAGGCAATCAGTTCTCTTTATTGTTATCAGTTTTATTCTCACATTGAAAAAATAGCATCCATGTGACAGAAAATTAATGATACATGAAGTTGCCCAATAAAATTTAAAATTTTACATCTGTTTGATCAAAATTCAGTTGCAATTGCAATGTTTTAGAGTTACGTCCAGTTTGTATGAAAAGTAAAAGTCATGTGATGGTATTAATAACACAATCTATGTTTAAAGTAAACAATGGAGAAAAATCGGAGAGAAATGTAGTGTAGATAAAAATAATACCACAGTGTAGAGAAGGTAGAGGAAATGTTTACTTTGATACCTACTGTCAGTAATTAAAATGCTAAAAATTAGATTGCAACATCTCGAAGTGATCGGCGGTTCCTTCTGTTTGTCCATTTCAAAAAATCATTGTACATTTCTACAGAGTTCACAAATGCTATCACAAACGCTGTTCCTCAAAGAAATGCTATTCAGACTAAGGTAAGTATTATACAAACAAGAAGTCTGTGAGCCAATGCTCACTAATAATACCCCGTTCTTATGTGAATACACAAGTTCAGTTATGGACAGACACAGTGATAATCAGGAAATTGACATTGGATTTGCACAAAAATGAATCTCACCATATGGCATGCCTAAACAAAGAGAGTTTAAAAATTTCAAGCATCTGCGATGAGTAGTTGCTGAGAAAATTGCGACCAAAATTTGTTATGTATGCTACGGACAGACGCACAGATCAACAGGAAGTTGACATTGAATTCGTACAAAAATGATTCCCACCATATGGCATGCCTAAACAAAGAGTGTGCTAAAATTTCAAGCATCTGCAATGAGTAGTTGCTGAGAAAACTGTGACCAAAATTTGTTATGTATGCTACGGACAGACACACGGATCAACAGGAAGTTGACATCGGATTTGTACAAAAGTGAATCCCCCCAAATGGCATGCCTAAACAAAGAGTGTGCTAAAATTTCAAGCATCTGCAATGAGTAGTTGCTGAGAAAACTGTGACTAAAATTTGTTATGTATGCTACGGACAGATGCACAGATCAACAGAAAGTTGACATCGGATTCATACAAAAATGATTCCCAATCTGATTAAAATCAAATCCTTTGATCCGCTCACATAGATCGCTACACAAGGATATGAAGAAACTCCATTCAGGGTCATCTCCTGGTGACCTTTCTAATAAAAATATTCATTAAAATTTTGACCAATCAGAGAGATCGTTCTTAAGCGACATTCGGGAAAATGAATGTAGAAGTGAAAGTAGCTGTGGAAAAGACCTTATCGTTTCGTGCAGAACAAAGAGCTAAAAAACAAGACAAAAGCAAGTACTAAATATATTTCTGTACAAAAAAGTCTGTGGTTGTTCTTTTGACAGTCTATGGAAACAGGTCACAATTTTTCCTTCGTGTATCATCGGGGCTTTCACTTCTGTAACTGAATTCCGAGATACTTCTAAATTCTTGCAAGCAAATGTTTGATTGGATAATTGAAAGGTCACCAGGAGATGACCCTGAATGGGGTTTCTTCAGATCCTCTGTAGCGATCTATGTGAGCGGATCAAAGGATCTGATTTTAATCAGATTGAAATGATTCCCACCATATGGCATGCCTAAACAAAGAATGTGCTAAAATTTCAAGCATCTGTGATGAGGAGTTGCTGAGAAAACTGTGACCAAAATTTGTTGTGTATGCTACGGACAGAGGCACGGATAAACAGGAAGTTGACATCGGATTTGTACGAAAATAAATCCTACCATATGGCATGCCTAAACAAAGAGTGTGCTAAAATTTCAAGCATCTGTGATGAGTAGTTTCTGAGAAAGCTGTGACCAAAATTTATTATGTATGCTACGGACAGATGTATGGATCAACAGGAAGTTGACATCGGATTCGTACGCAAATGAATCCTACCATATGGCATGCCTAAACAAAGAGTGTGCTAAAATTTCAAGCATCTGCAATGAGTAGTTGCTGAGAAAACTGCGACCAAAATTTGTTACGGACAGACACACAGACAGACAAACAGACAGACACACAAGGGTAAAACAGTATACCCCCTCTCCTTCGGAGCAGGGGTATAAAAATATGCATACACTTTGACAGTTAAATACATGTGTACTCTAAATCTATTCATTTTTTTGGTATGAAGTCATTTGACACTAATCATAATGCTCAGAAACATTCAACACTGGGTAATCCGACACACTATCTAATCCCACATTGATTTTATTTCCCCCAGCATGTTGGATAAGACAGGTTTCACTGTATAAATGGAAAAGGGTTATTTCATAACAATGAAATTTAATGCCCACGAAACCTTTTTAACAAAACTTCTCAACAAAATTTTATCCCCATGAAAATTTGTGATTCTACAGTAGGATTTTTAGCTCACCTGAGCTGAAAGCTCAAGTGAGCTTTTCTCATCACCCATTGTCTGTCCGTCTGTCCATCTGTCTGTAAACTTTTCACATTTTCAACTTCTTCTCATGAACCACTAGGCCAATTTTAACCAAAGTTGGTACAAAGCATCATTGAGTGAAGAGGAGTTTAAATTGTTACAAGGGGAGATAATCAAGAAAATACAAAAATAGGGTGGGGTCATTAAAAAATCTTGAACCACTGGGCCAGAAAAGCTGAATCTTATACGAAAGCATCCTGGGCTAGTGTAGATTCTAAATTGTTCAAATCATGACCCCCAGGGGTAGGATGGGGCCACAACAGGGAATTCAAGTTAAGGGTTTCATGCAAGTTGTACCATGAGGTGTCAAATTTCTCCTGCCAGGGATATCCAAGACACAAAGAAATTGTTCTTCAAAAGAAATGTTTTATGCACGTTTTCCAGATAACAAAAAATTGTGTGTCCCGGAATGCTTACTTGAGTATTTACAAAGAACAAAGACATTTAGGACTCTTAATGATCATGCGATCAGGTGATTCAATATTACGGTCAATTATTAGACCACATAAAGGTTTAACCGCTAATGCAGTTTCAAATTGGATAAAAGATGTGACATCCCTGGCAGGTATTGATACCAAAACACTTAAAGCTCAATCAGCTCGCATTGCATCAACCAGTAAGGCTTTTAAAAAAAGGTGCATCTGTAAATGAGGTATTAGAAATGGCACACAGGTCACATGCTAGAACATTTTATAAATTTTATTGTAGGGCTACTGATAATCTGATGGATTTTCCAGAGCAGTTTTGACTTTAGGTTAGTCTGAGCTTTGAACATGCAATGTTATATCTTATGATGTTTTCTGAAATATAATTGAAGATTTTATGAGGGCATATTGCCCGAAATGAAATATTGATTACTGTAAACCAACTATTATTGGCGTCATCTTTTATTTGTGGTTCGTCCGTTTGAAATCAATCCACAACGATTAATTTTTGTGACTGAGGAAACATTCTCGATAAATACAAGGCGAAATAAATGGTTCACGGCGATTAATTTTCGAGAGTAAAAGTAGATCGCGAAACTTGCGAATATTTCTATAAATTAAAGTTGGTTTACAGTATATGAGGAAAACTCATAAGATATAACATTGCAATGCCACCACAACCCACCCATAATCAGAAAATTTATATGAATTAAAGAGCATATTTTATTTTTACTTTGATTCATGCATACTAAGTTACATTTGTATAATTACAATGTATATATCAAATATATTTCAGAGTGAAGAAGCCCTGTGGAAGCTGGAAGATGAGTGAATTTGGGAGTCTTGATTAACATATATATATTTATATTTATATTATATATATATATATATATATATATATATATATATATATATATAAGACTATCTGGAATACTTAATATCTGTTATACTCATAAAAATAATTAAAGGATTGAAATAAGTAATATTGTGGTTATTTATCAAATAATAGCTGCAAAATTGAAAGCACTGTGTAGTGGTCACTCAGGTGTGTTATTCACCTGTATATGGACAAAAAACTTTCATAGGGGTGGTCACTTTAAACAGCTGATTTTTGAGCTAAACTTGAAGGCATTCATGGATGAAAAACTGCTGAGTAGTGTTATATGGGAAAAATTACATTCCATGGTGAACACAGTTTTGTGGATCTCTTCATGTCTTGAAAACAACAAAAATTAATCCCCATGAAAATGAGTGATTTCACTGTACGATATGCATGTATACATATAACATACCTGTTTTTGTTTGATTAGATCTTTAAGCTGCTGATTCTTTGAAATAAATTCCTGATGGAGATATTCCAATAGTGGACAAGTGGCATGGGAACTCAGCAACTGAGGAAATCAAAATACAAGCTCTATTATTACACATTATCATCAATATTGGAAATGATTTGAACAAATCTGAATTTATACATAACATGAACAAGAATGACATTTACAAACTAGTTTAATATAATCACTTTAATTTCCTCTCATTTTTAGACAGGGTCACATGACCCCATCTATTTGTTTACTGTCAGTTGAGGCCTCAAAACCGAAGCTGTGTGGAGAACATATGAATTAAATCTGCGCTAAATGCAAGAGTGCAAACACTGTTTTGATCAAAATATGCAAACACACTGGATCAAACTCCAGAGAGTGTTATGAAGATTTTCATACTCAAATTAAAGAAGCATTTTGAAAATTTTAAACGTGAAAAACATAACACTGAACCACACTAGTAAAAAAAATTACTCGGCTGCGTAATATTAGACTATATATGCATGCAGCATCAATTGTTTACTTTCAGAAATGTCATATTAATTCGGACCCAGTGAAATTCAGACAATTCAAAAAGGTTTCTTGACAGTGATTACTGATTATTCTATTAGAGCATATTAATGAAAAACATGAAGATATAATATTCACAGAGCTTTTTTTTTAATTTCATGTAAGGGATACAAGACGAAGATGGTCTAATATGTCATATACGGGACTAAGGGACGAGGTGCAAAGCACCAAGTCTCAGTCCTGCATCTGACATGATAGACCATCTGAGTTTTGTATCTTACTTAAAACATTTTTTCAATGCACTTTTGTATTGGCTAATGTCATAATACAATACTGGTGACGGTGACCAAACCAGATGGATGGGGCGCTTAGGGGTTAAAGAGATTTCTTTCAAAGTGATGAATAGTTTTTTAATTAAAATCCTTTACTGAACCCCAATCATATATTATTTATCGTTGTGGCACCCTACAGATGCATTATAAAGAGCTGAGCAACTTTGTGACATAAGCGATTCTGAGAGTATTGTGAAGGATCCTTTTTTTAATGGATGAAGATTGTAAGTGACCAGAAGGCAAATATTCCAGGAAAGCACCATTTTTGAAAGCACCACATCTTTATGTAAATTAATTTGGAAATATATGTTGAAATTAAATTTTCCGAGAAAAAAGTTTTATGGGATATACAGATCAAGTGTAAACTTGTCTGCATTATGCTTTTTCTTCCCCTGAATGCTAACATTCTTCAATGGACCACTTAACGTGGATTAATTTGGATGTGTTTTCCGAAAAATCATAAATTCAATATTAAATGTTAACTTGACCATATAATGAAATTTCTGGGACATTCCTACTTTGGAAGTTTCGTTGCATAAATGGATTACGAGATGTTGATTTCCATATAGCTTGAATTGGATAACAAGATGTTGATTTCTATATAAAATGCATAATTTTTGTCTATTTGTTGCCTTATTCATTCGTTGTGTATAAGCTAGGTGACGTTATCCTTTGTTTCACACAGTCCAATATTATTTTGGAGTACAATATTAGATAATTAATATTGTACTCCTGAAAATAATATTGGACTATAGCTAGTACACTCTTTGAAATATGAGACTGTAGAAACAAAAGAATGACATTACAAAAATGTTTTAAGTTAATATTAAATGTAAAAAAAAATTAAGTTGTATCAAATTAAAGCCCTAAAAAGAATTTTCACTAGGTGATCGATATGATCGATAATACAGATATTCCACCATATTGCGGTATGTTGACAAAAATATCTTATTGCAATACATTTTTGTAATACCGATATACCGGCAAAATGTGGACTCAAGAATTCTATCATAAAATATAAAGAAAAGTCATCAGAAACGTTTGCGATCATGCCAATTAACAGTAAGACAAAAGCTGTTGTATGGGGTGTATTTAGTTGCATAACTGCAATTCAATCAGCAAGATATCTTTTATTGGTTATTTATCATAGTTGTGCACATTCTACATATACATGTAAAAGAAAGTTAATATAATAAGAAAATACCATTTAAATATTTGTTGAAAATATTGCAATACATATCATTATACAGTTAAAAATATGGCAATATATCGCAATATGAAATCTCTAGCCAATACCCAGCCCTAATTTTCACCATGCAGTAATGAAATTTGTAAAATGATGAAGTTTATTATTTTGACTCTGTCTTTCTAGTACTGTATCAGTACTTTAATATAAGCAGGAACAAACACCATATTTTAATTCAAATGTACAACTAATACAATTTGGCCTGTTGGATGTGTTGGAGCTACTAGACTTAGCTAAAACCTAGGGCAAGCATAGCAGGGAGCAGGCAGCTGTAAATCTTAAAGTGAAGAAAAGACAGGACAGTTTAAAGTCTACGAAGGTAAACAGGTACCTGGGGTAGCCCAGCAAGTAGCTGCAGTATTATACAAAGTTGGATTCCTAAATTTTTATTGACTCTGGGGGAAGCCCATCAGAGTTGACTGGTACCTTGGGGGAAGTCCAGCAGTTAGCTATAAACCAAACTAAATTCATCAGCCTATATATCAAGTCAGAGTAACAACAAGAGGCCCATGGGCAACATCACTCCCCTGAGCACTTTGGCTAGGAAAAAGCAGAAATCAGTTCAGTATTGAAAAGTTTACATATTAAAGTGTTTCCAGGGCTGGGGGGGGGGGGGGACAAACTTGAATCTACACCCCCTGAAGATGCTTTTGAATTAATATGACTAATAATGGCTTTGCTGTTCTTAAAAGAAAATTTTAATGAAATATCCTTTACGATTTGAACAAACTTGAATCTACACCACCTGAAGATGCTTTTGAATTAATATGATCAATAATGGCTTTGCTGTTCTTAAAGGAAATTTTTATTGAAATATCTTTTATGTTCCTTTGTATAACTATGATCCCCTGTTATGGTCCATCACTCCTGGGGGGTTCAGGGTTCTCCACATTTGAAATTTTAACCATGGAGGAAGCTACGTGAAGGCAAAATGTGACCGAAAACATGAATGTGTGCAAGACTTTTTAACTTTCAATGATTGGTATCACAAAACTTAACCACTGCAACACAAAAAGTTGAAATAACCAACAATTTTTTAAAAGTTAAAAAAATGTAAATAATAATAAAAAGGAGTATTGATAACAGAAAGTATATATCATTTTAAAAATGTACAAAAATTGGCACAAAACTGTAGGAACATTTTGAAGGAATTTCAAAAAAAAATATTTTGATAGAGTAACCATGGCAACATTATTCAAAAGCTGACATACAGAATTGATGTTGCCTGTTGTATGAAACATTTTATTCAGATATGACTAAGACTGATGAATGGGTAGTATTTTGAAGAAAAAAAGTTAACAGACACACAAACTAACAGAAGAACTAACACCGACATCCTAACAATGCCTAAGCTTTTTTAACTGCATGGTCTATGAACTTACTGTCGGCATACATGGTAAAAGTATCAAAACTTAATATAACCAGGAGCATAATTCTGACATAACTGTAATTTTTCTTTCTCTATTCTGATTTCTTAAACATTTTTTTTTTTCTACATATTAAATTTTTCGCCAAAGAAGAAAGTACGTTATGTACCAAAATCGGCCCTGTCCGCAAATCTGATGAAGATTTTTTGGAAAGATGTCTAAGATGTCCTCTTTTTAATTCAGCTTAATTTTTGCAATTATCTCAAATCAATTTTCCTACAAAGCTATCTGAATGTTGATAGTTTCTTTGGAAAATAACACTATGACGTTATGACGTCAACCTAGTGACGCTACGCAAATACGATGGTTGTTGGAAAGTTTGTTATATTACTTTCAAGAAATATTTTTAAAAATACACATTTTCTTATATAAAAAATATTTATTTTGTTGAAGTGTGAAGTTTCATTCCATTCCATTTAACAGGAATCAATTTACTTAATTTTAAAATCAACGTGTTTGGTAACCCCGGAGAGCTCTACATTATAACGTCAAAAAACATTGCGTCATGATGTTTTCAAAAAAAAAAATTCTCCCTTTACATTTCACACAGTTTGGTCCAATAGCCACATATTAAAACCGTCTCTAAATTTTAATTTATTTTGCTAAAAATCGTACCGGTAGCATATTTTTCTTTGTCCATTTTTTTTTTATTATTGTTTTACCGTGTAACTGTACAAGATCCGCAACAGTGAAGCGCCTTTCCCTTTCCATGACTTTACCAACTCAAAGTTTCTGTTCAGATTTTTATAGATAATTTTTTTTCTCAAAGACCGCCCTTGTCTGATACAGAGTTTTAATCATTCGAACAGAGCCTCTGTCATTTTATACACATATGCACAAATCCCTCTTGACATTTGCTCCCTACAATATTTTCAGAGTTTATTTTGAAGATTTCCAGAGTACAAAACAAAATTTTGTGATACCTTTAAAAATTTCTTTAAAAATTTACAATGTTGTACTGAGCGGTCATAAAAAATATCAATATTTGGCCGCTGAGTAAGATATTTGACCTGTCAATGAGAAATTGGAACGCTTCCATCAAAGTTGTGGGCGGGATCAGCTCAATCTCATTTGCATTCGCTGGTGTTCGACAGTGACGAAATTGACCAAATTCAACCCCAGTGTGGTATAAGTAAATTTACATCATGGAAACATGCAGCACAAAATACAAAGATATAACAAAACATTTATTGACTATGTTCATGGGCAAAATGCGTTTTGTCGACCCATGGATCAGTTAAATAAAGGACTCAGACAAGCAGTTTGGTTTCTGGGACCGACAATATTCGTACAAATGAAAGATTAATTTATATGATTTTAAAACAAGAGAGGGAGAGGGAGAGAGAGAGAGATGCGTAATGCATATTTAATAGTACATTTATCATAAGTATCTGATTATTCTAATTCAAGCAAGATTTTGATTTTTAAAAACTAGACAATATTTTTTATGCGAATTACTTGGTTTGTTTTAAGATTGCATTAAAACTTTTAACACTATTTTATAGAATGTCAGATTCCCTATAAAATTTTATGAGAAAGCATTATAGATATTTTCAA